CTCGGACAACTGTGCAACGCTACCAGAGGCTATCCAGGATCAACCCAGTCAACCTCCGTCGAGCATCAGCGATGTACGAAAAACGCGAACAGGAAGAATCGTCAAGACCCCAGTACGCTTCGCTCGGGGGGAGTACTGTAGCCGCACCGCACGACTACATACCTACCAGTTACCAGTACCACCGAATACCTTTCCATATACCAGATACCTTCCACAATACCTTTACCAAAGTTATAGACTCACTCCGTTTAAAGAAACAAGAAACCAATTGTCTTGAAAAAGACAGTTTACGTTTTGACTCCGTTTTAAGAAACCAGAAACCAATTGTCTTGAAAAAGACAGTTTTCGACTTTGTTGCATAGAAACGATAATCATCACTGCGGCAACAGCGTTATCACACCGTGCCGCGAGCGATCGCTTCGAAAGAAGCGGTTTGGTAAAGCAAGCAGCCAAGCAGCGCAAGCGGAGCCGGAGGCCGGAGTACTTGCATTCATCTTCATTCTCTGTAGGTAGTCTTCAGTCTTCACTCGACGCCGGCTCTCGGAGAAATGCGCGCGCGCTCGTCTTCGGGTCATCTCTGCGTCCCCGGCTGGGGGCGCGAGGTCGCGCGATCCAGGCCGATGCCTGTTTCGGCGGTCTCATTCGCTGCCTGCTACAGCAGGCGAGGGGTTGGGTTAGTCGGGCACCTTGCGGGGCCCGATGTGGTGTCGAGTCCGGTGGTATGCCCCGCCATTGGCCGCGCTCTAGCCGGGCAAGCCCAGCGAGCAGCAAGCTGTTGGCGGGGCATAGGTCGTGTCCAGTGGGGGCGCCGCTATGGGCCGCGCTCGAGCCGGGGGGAGCCCGGCGAGCGGCGGGCTAGTAGCGGCGCGCGGTCGTGTCCGGTGGTGGCGGAGACTCTACCGATCCGCCTGCGGGGCGGGCGGGAGTCTCACGCGGCGTCCGATGGGCCGGTCGGTGCGACCAGGTCTCGTGGGAGGCCGAGGCCGTCAGGGGGGCGCCGGTGGTAGGGCGCCAGTCCTCTGAGATGGTCGTGCCGCGACCGATCGGAGCGCTCAAAGAGTGTGGTGCTCAGGCGCTGCACGAATGCGTCGACGCTCTCTACGCCGAGGTCTCGGGCGATTGTCGCGTTCCGTACGAAGCGCGGGGCCTGTACGATGGTGCGCAGCGACAGTGACTGCTGCGCACGGAGGCGTTTCTTGTTGGTTTCGGACACGAGCGCATACCATGCCGGGGCGGCGTAGGTGAGCCGTGTCCGAATGTAGGCCTTGTAGATGCCGAGCTTCGCACGGAGAGGTAGCGCCGAGTCGATCACCGGGCGCAGGAGGTGACGCGCGGCGCGCGCCTGAGCGGTGGCCTGCTGCACGTGGGGCGTCATTGAGAGCGAGCGGTCGATGGTCACGCCGAGGTATTTAACGCTCGGCGCCCACCGGACCTGCTCTCCCATGAGCGTCATGGGTGTCGGCTTCATGATCCCCACGGCGAGCGCCTGGGTCTTGGCCACGTTCACAGCCAGTCTCCACTTCTCCAGCCATTCAGGGAGTGCATCTAGGGCGCGCTGTAGTTTGACTACTGCGTGCCTCGGGTTCAGCGACGTCGTGTAGTAGGCGGCGTCGTCGGCGTACAGCGCTAGTTTGACGCCGTTCACGACGGGGATGTCGTCCGTGTACACGCAGTAGCACACGGGTGAGATGCAGCTTCCCTGGGGCACGCCGGCACGGATGTTCCGCTCGGTCGACAGAGTGCCTTCCACTGCCACTTGGAAGGTTCTGTCGTGCAGGAAGGTGGCCACGATCTTAACTAGTCGTCGAGGAGTAGTAGATGTGGCCAGCTTGCTGAGCAGGCCGGCATGCCAGACGCGGTCGAACGCCTTCTCCATGTCGAGGAATACTGCCGCGGCGCGCTCGCGCTTGTTGCGCGCGGCCGCCAGGTCGTGCAGTACCCTCGCGACTTGCAGGGTGGTGGAGTGTTCCGCCCTGAAGCCGAACTGTTCGTCGCGTGGCTGGAGGTGTGGGCGCAAGTGCAACAGCAGCAGCTTCTCGAAAGCTTCGAGACAGTGTCCAGGAGCGTGATGGGGCGATAGCTCCCCGGCAGCAGTGTGTTCTTCCCCTGTTTGGGCAGCATGATTACTCTGCCGAGCTTCCACTTGGCAGGGAAGTGTCCGGTGCGGAGGATGCCGTTGAATAGGCGCGTCAACGTCGCGATTCCTCGTGGCGGCAGGCGGCGGAGGGCCTCATTGGGTACTCCGTCCGGGCCGGGTGCCTTGCGTAGTGGGGCTCGCAGAGCCATACGCCGCACCATGCCAGGGGAGAGCACGACTGGGTCCTCTTCGGGGGAGATCGGTTGCTCCAGGTACTGTGCTACCTGAAGCTCGATGGCTGCTGTGTGTTGCACGTTGCGGGCTGGGTTGGGCTGGAACTGGCTCTCCAGGGAGTCAGCGAAGAGCTCCGCTCGATCCTCGGCTCGGTAGCGGGGTGTACCGTCGCCGGCCAGGAGGGGTCTGATCGGAGCTGGCTTCCCGGAGAGACTGCGGCACAATCTGTGTATGCCCGACCAGTCGTCGCTCACGTGCTCGATGGCGCGTTGCCAGGATTCGGCCGCGTGATTTGCCACGGCGGACGAGATTCTGGCGGCCAGAGCGTTGAGCGAGCTCTTCATGGTCGGGCATCGGGTCCTCTGCCATTGCCTGCGGAGTCTCCTCTTCCTCTCGACCATGGCGAGTATGGCGGCTGGGAGGGTGATGGTCTCCTCGGTGTCGACACGTTTGCCATTTGGTCGGCTAGTGCGGTCTGGGTGGCCGCGGCGAAGTCGGCGGCGAGTCGGTCGACGTCGGCGGGCGTGTCGACCCGGTATGACGGCGCGTTCCGTGCCATGTGCGCGGCGAAGGCGCGCCAGTCCCGCCGTGGGCGAGGGGAAAAGGTCGCAGGTGTTGGGGATGTCCTCGATAATCAGACTCACTGGCTGGTGGTCTGACCGGAGATGATCGTCCAAGACGTCGGGCGTGCGCTGCCGGTCGTGCGGGTAGTGTGTCGGGGCTTCCGGCCCGAGCACGACGTAGTTATGGAGCTCTGCATCGTCGAGCAGGCGGTTGCCTTCTCGTGTATTGGCGTTCGCGTTCCACGCCGTGTGCTTCAGGTTGAAGTCACCGGCGATGATGGTTGGCAGTGGCGAGTCCAGCAGGGTGTGGACGTCAGCCACTGCGAGGCGGTAGTGCGGCGGTCTGTAGAACGCGAACACCCGGGTCGGCTGGTGGTTGATGCAGATCTCCACGCCCAGTGCGTAGGACGCTCGCAGCGTTGGCACCGGCAGCAGCTGGTGCGATGCAGCTGATGCGCGCGCTCGCGCCGCGCGGTCATACTTATACGGAAGGAACCGATAGTGCCGTGTGCAAAGCGGCGCCCCGCACCCCGCGCGCCCCGCGCACGCCGGCGCGCCGCTATTGGTCGAAACTATTACCTAACTATATCTGATCTTGTCTAGTTGTAAATATGTAAATAGAAATATAAGTAGCGTAGTTTGGCGAAATAAAATCATTCTTGTCAACACCTCTCATCGAAGTTTCACTACTACTAGAAGATAAGAAGAAACCTCCTCTAGGACACTAGGCTCTCCTACCTAGCTCCTAAAGAGGCAAACTATCCTGCCGAATCGGAGGACTCGTCAAATCTAGGGTTCGAACAATGGCGTCCATCCTAGTAAACGGCTTGGGGGAGCGAGAGAGCTACCATCGACTAACGGTAGATGAGGCTCTCATGAACCACTTTGGAGCCGTTGTGATGGCCGCCCGAATAACTCGAGCCAAGGAAGTCCTTCTAATTGGTGACATAAATCAGCTTCCGTTTATAGATCGTGATAACCTCTTCCCTCTACTCTACAGCCGCCCTACATATATCACGCCCATAAGCCAGGAATTGATGTGTACCCACAGAAATCCAATGGATGTGGCGTATGCCCTCAGCACAGTTTACAGTGGCATATATTCGTCCAGGTCGTTCGTGAGATCCCTCGAGATAAAAAGGTTCTCGGGGGCGATGATTCCAAAGTCACTCCCCGACACTTTATACCTGGTACACACTCAGGCAGAGAAGGAATCCCTTAAGAACCAGGGATACGGGTCGACCGTGGGATCACGCGTGCTCACGATACACGAGGCACAGGGACTTTCGTGTGCGAATGTGATTGTTGTCAACACAGCAACAAAGAAACATCAAATACATGACAGCGTACCACACGCGGTAGTAGCAATATCGCGTCACACGCATGGTTGCATCTATTACACAGACAACAGTGAAGACGCGATAAGCAAACTAATCAGGAAGGCGGCTGATGAGGGTGAGCAAGGTATTAAGGACTACAACCTGAAAATGGCCATCAAACACAGGGACGCGGCAGTCATTGTGATGGAACGAATGCAACATGAGGAAATGTGTGTGCAGAAACATGTAGAAATAGAATATGACCAATTGACTTTGGACTATTGTACGCTTTATTGGAATCGGCCCATGTGGCAAGGGTTGAGGCGTCATGCACACATAAATGTCCTACAGTCGGTGGCGCTGTGTGTTGGGTTGTTCCGTTCCCAATAAAAAGGTTGACCGGACCAATTGCTGACACACACGTCATACTCGTCAACGGGTGCCTTCTGCTGGGTCAGGTCGGCTCTCCCATCTTGTTGGTGGGCTGGTTTCATAAAGCCTTTGAAATAGAAATAAATAAATAGTGCCTAATTATTATGTAACCTATACTTTTGCTAATAATTATAGATGTAGTTAATTGTAGTATGTAACTAGGTTCCCTCTTTACTTTATAAAAATTGACTAGATGTATTATAATTAAAAAACTGTATGACAAGGGCACGGACCTAGAGTCCGTGGAGAAATAATCTATAATATTAAAAAAAAAAAAAAAACGCTAATGATTCAGAGATCAAAGGAGTTGTCCAGTTAAATAGCCCCGTACGTATTGTTGACCTTCTCAGAATTTTAAGAAGGGTTAATTAAAGGATGAGCTTAAGGGGTCAGAATTTTAAATTGTTTGTTGCACAGTTGAAATATTTTATGTAAGATGGAATCAAGAGTTTAAGAATAGGTATGAAATTGTCGGAACAATTAAAATGGGGACTCATGTTTTACAGAAAAACATAACGAACTAAACTTCTAATTTAGGTAAGTTAGAACTTGGGTGAGTTAGACCTTAGATAAGTAAGAAGTTTCGTTACAGCGTTACAGGTTAGTGTTACAGGTGTAACACTAGCCACCACTATATCAACACGGTAGTTTAAATTATAACAAATGTCGAAAATTTGTTCTGACTTTTGTTTCATCCGCAAGCCGTAACCGGTGACGTTTTTTATGGCATAAGCCGGTAGACGATCAGACGGATCACCTGATGGTAAGTAATTGGCGTCGCCCATGGACACCTGGAACACCAGAGGCATTACAAGTGCGTTACCGGCTTTTTGGGGATTAGGAGTTTGAGGATCGTTGGGGATTCAGGGATTGGGGCGATTGGGGAAGGGAAGGATAATTGAGCCTCCGGTAACCTCACTCACACGACGAAATACAACGAAAGCGTTGCTTCACGTCAGTTTTCTGTGAGGCCGTGGTATCACTCCGGTCGAGCCGGCCCATTCGTGCCGAAGCATGGCTCTCCCACACTTATGACCTCTCTCTCTATTAACTCCATTATAGACCTTATTTCCAATATTTAGAGACTACTTTTGTATGAACAAATTTTGTGGATTTATAGGTGTCAAGTTATTAAGCGACCTTAAAATATTCTTATTCAATCTAATAGCAAAACCTAGTACCACCCAACTATTATAATACATCACAAACCCCTTTCCAACTAAATTCAACAAAACCAACCAAAATCGAAATCAAAATCCGATAATTGACGTTTCAAATTGTGTCTATTCAGAGTCAAACGACATCGGTTACAAAGCGTTGCCCCTTAAAAGTTAAATGGTACTTTTCACTTTTGATTAAACTAAACAAAGCTTGATTGCGGCCCTCGTTAATTTGAGTTCTCGCCCATCGAAATTATAATAGTCTATTCTGATGATATCTTATCGACAACACTTAGTATCTGATGGCCAATTCCAGCGTCGGGTTAACAGTTAATCTCAGTAATAAGTGAACACTTGAAACAGTTTTATTGTGGATTATAAAGTTTAGCATTCATTTTCTTAATTGATAGGACTTAGGAGTTGCTAAAACTGTGTTTCTTTCTTGAATTGTTTTGAAATCCAATTAAATTGTGATATCAAAAATTTTAATGACAATGATATACCTAAAGAAAGGAAAAAAATAAATAAATATGTACAACTTAAGAGCCACTAAAACGAAAAGAGAAAATTAAATAAAAGTAAACTAAAAATGACTGTTTACAGAGAGTATCAATAAATTCGTCCGCATCGACGTCAATAGGGAAAGTACCCAGAAGATTGGCAGAATTGCCACGTTGTATGGCAATTAAAAAAAATGTATTTTAAAATAACGTAATATTGAAAATTTGATGTTTCGAGATCAGAAAAATGACTATCAAAAACTGAAAAATTGGATTAAAATATTTTGGATAAATATAACAATTGACTAACAAAGTATTTTGTCCTTTGTTACAGAACGCCTAAATGTGCTTTACGAACGCAACTGGACCCGGCTCGTTCACGAGCAGCTGCGCAAGTTCGAGTCATCAATAGTCGCGGCGGCGAGGCAATCGCCCGAGACACAACCCCCAGAGCTAGCCATGGACTCCAAGTGGACGTTCTCTGGATCTCTGATATACTGTATCACACTTATCACTACTATAGGTAAGTTTTACCGACGGAATTTGTTTCTAGTAGTTTAAGTAAAGTCTAGTTATATTTAGAAGTTATGAATGTTATGAATTATGTTGAAAGTAAAATGATATGATTATTTCTTTTGCTTTAATCAGTCACAGTGTTAATAATTTTTTGTAGTTTTGAAACTTAATTTTATATTGATTAACTTTGATAAACATAGAATAAACTTTGATTAACTGCATGGTTGGCGTAGTGGATGGGCAACCGGCTGCAGCTGGGTTACTGGGTTCGATTCCCGCACGGAAAGTTTTTTGTGTGATCCACAGGTTGTTGTTCCGGTCTAGGCGTTGTGTGTATGTAAAATTGTACGTTTGTAAACGCACCCACGACACGAGAAAATCGTAGTATGGGGCACGTCTTTTAAAAAAATAAAATTAAAAGAAGTAACAAAAATTGATAAGAAACTAAAAGTAATTACAACAATAGATACCTAATTCCCTACCTTATAAACATAAGTAGTCACGAATTTTGATCACTATTAGTTTATGGTCTAACCCTTAATTGGACAAAGGACATCTATCTATATATATAAAAGAAAGTCGTGTTAGTTACACTATTTCTAACTCAAGAATGGCTAAATCGATTTGGATGAAAATTGGTGGGGAGGTACCTTAGAACCAGGACACGGACATAGGATACTTTTTACCCAATTCTTTTTTTTTACCTTTTACCTAAAATCAAGAACGGGAACGGGAAATATCGGGATTGCGCGTACGAAGTCGTGGGCAGAAGCTAGTTTATCATAAAGTTTTCATTTTTTTTTATTTTATCTTGTTATCCTAGGATACGGTAACGTCTCGCCAAGAACAGCTGCTGGTCGAGCAGCCACAGTAGCCTATGCAGCAGCTGGAGTGCCACTTACATTGGCGTGTTTGGCGGGACTGGGGGCATCCTTGGCACGACTGGCACGACTGGCGTGGCTAAGGACAACTAAGAGGAAAGTGCCTAACACTTGGAGGAAGGATGGAGAGGTAAGGATTTTATGTTACTTTTCTCTCTACAACATAACGTATGTCTATTATTATACATATAATTTTACTCGAATATCAACATCGTAACGTTTAACCTTTTATTTTGTCGCGGAGAACCTAACGCGTTACGGGGGCTCCGGCCCGTAGTGCAGGTGTAGGAACGGGGTGGTTTTTAGTCAGTAAGAGTCTGACATTCCCTTCCGCCTCACTCAGAAGGGAGCACCCTTAAAAATATACCTTTTATTTTTCGAATTATTTCTTACTTCTTTTTACGCCAGTTGTGTTCAGTCTCATATAATCCATTGGCATTTAAAAAAATACTGACACAAAACATGTAACAAAAAATATTACCCCAAAATTCCAGGGTTAAAAAAGGCTTCAAAATTAAAATACAGAACCTAAAATTGTATTTTACTGACAGCTAACTTCATTACTGCGAACAAAATGATACGCGATTTAAGCGCTATTCCCGTGATGAATTTAAAAACAAAAGAGGGTTTGTGATCGTTAGGTTAGGTTAGACAGGCATGAAGAGAACAACCTATGACCATCAATTGCTATAATTCTCCTATAAAATGAGATAGAGTTTGACATGCAATAGGAAGTCACAACCACAACTTAAAAAGTTCACGTTTCTGTCGAGTGGTTAGTCTTAGTCGGCTCTTTTGTCAACCGTCTTCTCCGTAGGAAGAACTGGGCTAGTCACAATAAGTCACCATAAGTCTTGACGCATTTTTGAATCAGTGTAACAGTCCATTAATCTAAAGGACCGCTGATCTAATGTATAGTTAGCTTAATCACTACGCAATGGCTGCCGTAATACAGTGACTGTGCGTAATTACATACACAAACCTATCAAGTGCAGACACATAGGTGATTAAAATGCTGAATAAAGGTTCTTTTATGCATAGTGGTAACGCAAAACGAAACTAAAACATAAATGTCAAAATTAGACTTCAAGAATTTATGAAATAGCAATTTTTCAATTGTTATGCACATGTCTATCTTTGTAGTAACCATCTTTGTTTTATATGTAGATATTTAGACAGACATGAACTGCTCTCCTATTTGCATTAACATGCTGAGATAGCATATACCGGTCATATCCGTTGTCTCATCTCCATAATATGAGGGGTGTATTGCAATACAAACATATAAACTTCACCTTATACAAATATATTTTAAACAATCTTTAGATTGTCTGATATACATAAGACTAATTTACCTTCATTTTTCTATGTCTCACAGCCGGAAAACTACCTCCAGCTCCACGAACAGCAGCGCCTGCTTCCTCAGCCAGCAGAACATAACCAATACACATCATTTCCACCGAGAAGCCACCGGTCTCCTGGCACAGTGAAGGCCAGAGCTGGAGATAGGGGCCAGTACTCCCAGGTCTTTGAGAGAGCCCCAGCGAGTCCACGAGCTGCCACCCTGGGTCGAGTAAAGCGCAGTGCCTTGCCTGATGGTAAGTGTATGAATACAATAGATTTTTGCCTGATGGGGATTTGATATAGTGACTAAAGATTTTGTTCATAATAATTATTCATTACCTAATTGAGAACTTGGACGTTAAGATAATAAGATACGGACGAAAAGATTACCTATTTACAGTACCTAGACATTAATTTACTTTAAAAAATATTTTTCGCATTTATGCTCTGACTATCAAGCATTAGGTGGAAGCTTACTCGATGATTTTCCCCCTTTAAAAAAAAGCGGGGGCTACTTACAAAAAATATTTAAAACATTGACTCATTTTGTCGCCAGAACCACACACATCTACATCTCTACAGACTCAGACGCTAGATCGGAAGAAGACGATGGGTAGCACAAAATGCCTCGCCACAGTCCATGGTCCTGGTCGAGGCAGGGGACGGACCACCATGCAAAGACCAAGGGGAGCTGTTATTGAGCAGCTGATTGCTGAAGAGTGTGGGGAGCTGCAGATGAACAGGAGTCAAGACGACTTGGACGACTCTGAGGATCCTGATGAGGCGTGAGTGTCTTATGTTTTCATGGTCATAACAGATCAATAACAGGTTATGTTTGTTTCTAAAGAGAGAGACATATTATGGTTTTGGTAACAGCAATATAAACTTATTACTACTATACCAGTTATTTTAGAAATTTATCAATATATAAACAAAAAACTAACTAATAGCTGGCCATTAAATAATGGCTGGGAACTATTCGTATCCTATTTGTAAAATTCATTTATTTATTTTAGTTTAGAATAGCAGTCGACTTTGAATAAAATTTTGATCAAAATAAATGTTTTAAAAAAACAATGTAACTGGTTTTTGCTAGTGAGCTTTGAATTGTTGTTTTCATTTTCAATTCACACGTTCGAATTTGTTAACAGGATATGTCCACACGACACCCCGTCACGAGTGCCTTTGATATGGACTGAGGAGAGTCATAAGATGAAGAGTTCTAACGTGCCGAGCAGTAGTGCCTCCACCAGCGTCCAGCACCACATCCACCACGGCATCGAACATTGTCACATCCCTGTTGGAATAGTTTTATTCCTTCTCCTCGCTTACATCTGTGTCGGCGCTGCCATCTTCTCCGCTTGGGAGAACTGGAGCTTCCTCGACGCTGCGTACTTCTGCTTCATTGCCTTAGCCACGATAGGTTTCGGAGATTTTGTCCCCACCAGCTTTCTAACAACTAAACATAGCACAGAACACACTAAAAGCGAGTACGTTCAAATGATCGCGTGTTGTGCCTACCTGGTTTTTGGACTCATATTAATAGCTATGTCATTTAGCCTGCTACAAGATGAAGTAGTCGCTCGATGTTCGCAATTAGCTAATAGTTTAGGCCTCTCGCGTCAATGACAGTACGAGAAGAGTGATTGTAGCTCAACAGACAATCACTTGAGAATGTTATGATCGTTATTGTAAGCAATTGATTTGGGGTCCACTTCATTTAATTTCTTCATTGGATCCATTTACGTATTTATTGTAACCCATGTTATCACTATATCGTAAATAAAAATTATTTTCTCATTGTCTACACACAATTGTATTGATAATTTTAATAAAGAACTAAATTTGAAAAAAAAACTTTTTACGGAATTTGTACTCGAAAAGAAAGTGGTTTGTGATGTAAATAATGTATAAAACTATTTATAAAAGCAAGGCTGAAATTGTAATGAAACAATAAAATTGTGTTGAACTAAAGCTCGTTTCATTTTTAGTCGCAATTTATTTTCAAATGGAATGTTTGATCAGGAATGAATGCTCTATTTGGGAACATAAATATTGGCGTTACTGGCAAGAACTCGACAATTCTTGGGCATTTACAATCACGCAAATTATAAAATGATTCTTGAAATCTGTATTGTCTGTAAACACGCTATTTTTAAAAACCGACTACTGTAACCGAACATAAAGAGCGTACCAAGCGAGTACTCTCACCACAAGGGGTTAAAGCAATTCTGGGCACATTACATGAGTTAAACTGGACGACTAAATTCCCCGATTCTGGTTCGCGTAAAATTCTCCCTTGTGGGATTACGTGCGGTTTGATACGGGATAAGAGTCCTTGAATTACGTCAGTATCGTCCTTATATGGACCATAAAGTTGGACGAAATTTAAATAATATAGGTTTGTTTTTACTGGACATCCCGTGTTTGATGAATAAAGGCTTTATTTCAGAGAAAAAACAAGATTTTTGAGGACATTTCAATGCAAAAAATAAGTAAAAACATCAAGTGCGAAATTTTACGCATTAATATTTTAGTAAACTTCATTGTAGAACTGCCTCGTTGGCGAAGTGGTCACAAGTGCGCCTGCTGGGTAAGGTCTCGGGTTCGATTCCCGGGTCGGGCAAAGTATTACTGGGATTTGAAAAAAATTCTCAGTAGTAGCACGGAGTCTGGAACTGTGCCCGGTATATGGCAATAGGCTCACCCCTTATAACATGGGACTCATAACATAAATATTGAAAAGTGGGTCATTGTAGTGGCATTAAGCTGTACTATACCGGAGGCCCAATTACCCCCTCCCTAGTCTCCGTTTCCCGAATCCTCCACAATCCTCAAATTCCCAATTCCCAAAAGGCCGGTAACGCACTTGTAACACCTTGGTGTTTCGAGTGTCCATGGGCGGTGCCGATTGCTTACCATCAGGTGATCCGTCTGCTCGTTTGCCGGCTTATGCTAGAAAAAAATGCACCTCTGTCTGCCCTACAGGGATGAAAGGCGTGATAATATGTGTTCATTGTAAGTAGAACAAAACATTCACTACTGAACAATACCAAATCCCACAACTAAACTAACACACGTTTACCACAAAGTATCCAATTACGCTTATAATCCCCAAACAGTCCGTTTAACAAACACTATAAGGGCTTAAAAACAAACTACAAAAACACTTCACTGACATAATAAAATATAATAATATATACATAGGCCATTAGGGTCTAGCCACAACCATTAGGGGTCTCGTTTTCTCTTCACATTACAACTACGTGACAGTTTTGTTTACAGGATAATTTTGCTGAACAAAACACTGCCTTAATGGTAGACACACGGTAGCAAAATGTACCAATGATTAGTAATGAGCGAATTACTTGTGTATCCACGAGTGTGCAAATCTTTATTGAGGTAGATGTTATGTATTGGCTGTGTCGAAAGGTATGTAAGTGTTTTTTGTTCTGTGCGAGTTATAATCCTATTTTTTATCCTACTATTCTTGGATGTAACTCTACATTTATGTTTATATTGCTTTAAGGTGTACAATATCGATTATTATTATTATCCTGTGCTTTCATATTCCGTTTTTACTGAGAAAACATTAAAATGTAAAAAATGTGTAAAATGAATAACCAAACACGCTAGTAAAACTAAACTAATAGACTAAAGGCTGATTTTTCTATCATCATTTAATTCTTAACTGTAGAATAAAATTTACAGTTGAATTATTTTACTATGGAAGAACTGTCAATAATTCCTCTGACGAAATTTATCTAGTGTTGGCAAAATCGTACGGCACGTCGCGTTCCCCGCGCGCCTCAAAAAGCCATCAGACCACCACAGATGGGGCCCAATAGGGCTGATGCCGATGCGGAGCCACGGAGAACTTAACGTGTTACCAGGGCTCTGTCTTGAAGTGCAGGAGTAGGAACGGGGTGGTTTTTAGTCAGTAAGAGTCTGACACTCCCTCCCACCTCACCCAGGCGGGAGAAGTCATTCGATATTCCACATAAAAGTGGTGTAGGTAGATACTATACAACCATTTTGTTTTACAAAAAAACTTAAGTAAATATTTATCTTTGAAACAACTATTCACTTCTTCAAGAAAGAACTCAATGAACTCTCAATAAAACTACAATACAACAATGGCTGCCAGCTACTTTCGAATGCAGACGAATGAATAAAACAGCGCCCTCCAACGTCACTCCAATCGCCTTGAACTTTAGCGCAAACTAGTTTGAAAATTCGTAAATATTACGAGCTACGTCCCACCTGTTCCCTTCGCCTCTAAGGCGACTTAATAAAACTTTTGATGCAACCTCCAGTGGCTGGAACTTCGTTGGAAAATATTGCAGAGATTTAGAAGACAACAATGTAAGGTTAGTTTAAATTGAATTGGTTCCTGTGTGTCTTGGATAGTGTCATGAAATGTTAGTTATTTGTGGAATTTTGTTATACTTAGAAATGATGAAGAAAGATGTCTTTTAAAGTATTTTTCTATATACCTCTAGTATTCCATTTTATTAAGCTGTAATCAAGAAGAGCTGAAGACTGAGCTCAGTGGCGTGCCATTGGAGGGGTCTATGTCTAGCAGTGGACGAATACGGGCTGATGATGATGAAGCTTCTTAGTCACAATTACTAACCATTCAAACTTTATCTGAAAAAAAGATAATATGGGTACTAATGTTATTGCAAAGATACGATATACACTTCAAGTAATATCATTTAGGAAAACCTCTAAAACTAAATGCCTCTAACCAATCTATATGCACCACTACAGACATACACTATATCTCGCCATTTATCTAGGCAGAGGTGCACATTACAACACTTACTGCTTACTGTACAATGCGACACCAACTTTTCACTATTTATGTTATAAGTCCCATGGGATAGGGGGTGAGCCTATTATCATAAACCGGGCACAATTCCAGACTCCGTGATACCACTGAAATTTTTTTTTTAAATCCTGGTTTACTTTTCCCGACCTCGTATCGAACCCGAGACCTCTTGCGACCACTCAGCCAACAAGACAATCACTCACACAGTACACAGTACTATTTAATAGTACATAAATGATTCCTAGGCCATAAATTATCGTTAATAAAGGCAGAGTATTCTGAAGAAGATTAATTAAAGTCTCAGTTAATCAAATCCCGGTTGACGGCAGTTACACAAAAGATTTGCGGGCGCCACTCTGACCTGAGTTAGCTTTTCATTCTAATTCATTTTTCCCTTACACCTGACATTATTCTTCACCTATAAAGACCTTCGTTTATAATTAATTTGTAAAATATAATAATCTAGAATCCGTAAATTTTAGTCACCTTAAACGTAATTAATTATTGTACTCGAGGAATTTTAGGTACGTAGTCTTTGTAGACAGATATTTTTGTCATAAATGGTATTTTTCTTTTACCAAAATTTTTATAATTTGTTGTACAAGATTCATTTAGAGACCACCTGATATTATTCGCCCTAGTTTAGTTAATATTATTTGAATAAGAAAACCACCATAAGTGTTGTGGCGACACATGGTACATGTCAATGGATGACGTCACAAAAAATCCTACATCGCACATGCAAAGTTTACAATCGAATTAACACGAATAGAAAATCCCAACGAATAATTGTTAGGCAGAAAGCCCGCCAGACACGATCACCCCGCCTGGTCGGAGGATTCTCCTTTTCCGATCTTAGGGAACCATACTCTCTGTTCCCTAAAGTGTTATACACAAAACATAATATAATGTCACACACACAAACTTTCAACCTTTATCAAAATATCTAATCAAATGCGGGAAGAACAGATGAGAACTAAGTTACTATTTGCATGTTTTATATTTAGGTTTAATAGTACCAAAACCCAATTACTAACCCGAAAACCAAACACGAGGACCAGTCTTTTATGTTACTGAATAAATTTACCCACACTTCAGAACTCCACTAAAAGCTGTCCTGATATTCAAATTAAATCAAATGATAACCTAAAACAGGAACAAACGCGTTGAATATAAATACAGGAAGATAACAAATATCTCTTTGGAGAGCCAAATTCATAAAATGATCACAATAAATTATTAGCTAGACTAAACTGGAACACTTTTGTGACGTGTTCAGAATAGAAAATTAATTATTATCTAGAATTTTCGGCAAAATATTTGCCTATTTATCAGTAGAGGTTGACTACCGAATAGTGAAAGTATCGATATGTTATAAAAGCAATATATTTTTATATTGTGTTGTTGACTTTTATCAAAATGAAAACGAGTTTATTTCACTAAATAGATTAACTAACTGACTACTAACAGGTATACGAAAAAAATGTTACGGCCAATTATACCTCTACATAGACTAAAAACAAAATAACTTATTTATAGACACAAAAATAAATAAAGACTGCACCGGGTCTGTTGTTCTGGGTCTGGGTGTCATGTGTATGTGAAATTGTATGTTTGTAAACGCACCCATGACACAGGAGAAAATCCTAGTGTGGGGCGTTTTATTTTAAATAAAAAACCATAGCCTTTAGCCAAACGCTACTTTGGCGCTTGTCTACAGAGAGAGTAGAAAACTAAATGTATAGGGATGACACTGACAAGTGTCAAAATTTACGTCAATTACCTACATATAATT